AAAGTAAATAAATATATAATGCACAGGGATGCACATGTGTAAGTCTCAGACCACAGAGTCATAAATAACGTGCCCAAGCATTTACTAAATAGGTTAGTGCAATCAATATATTTTTAATATCTGAAGCACTCTGCTCGTGGCTGTTCCAGGGGGGAAAATGTGGCCATAAATTGCCCAGATGCAGTATTTAGTAATGTACCTGATTCTAAGCCCACTGAAGTCAGTTACTTCCAGTGGATTTTCCAGGTCGAAGGAAAGTGCTCTGTCTTCTGGAGAGGTTACTTCACAGTTATTTACATGGGGAGGGGTTTCTGCGTCGTCCTTTGGAGCACAGCGTAGATCACTACATTTGACGTGCCACTGAACAATGTGGCCCCTTTGTCTGGTCTGTGATGGTATTTTCTATGGAGACTTGTATGCCAAACCACCAGCTTGTCGGTTTATAAAAGTAACTTTTGTTTTATAGGGTGAGGACTTTTGCAGGATATTGTTGCTTCACACTCTTCTCATAAATTCATGATTATAAATGTGGTAGACGTAGACTGCTGTGACTCAACATTGTCTATATTCCATGTGCTTACGCAGCTTTTTTCTTTTCTTTTCTTTTCTTTTTTTTTTTTTAACAATTACTTGTATCCGGGCAGTCTTGCCTTCACTGAATTGCGAATTCGGTGAACTTTCTTGACTGAGTCTGGCATGAAAATTTCCCTATAAAACTATGTTTTATTTCTTACGCAGAAAGAATGGATTACAGCCCTGAGAAAAAAGTACTATCAGAAGAAATAGCTGTAGCTCAATGCATTTGCTGACAGTTTCACTAAGTATTTTGTTTAAAAAGCTGCCAGGATTTGTTCATAGAGTAGATCATTTTTACAGGAAAAGTGCATTATGAGAAGAATAGTGCTTTTGTTTGTCCAAATTGTTTTTTTTGGATCATCAGCCTAAATGAGAAGCAAGATGGTAACAAACTCTTCCCAGAGACAAGACCTGAGAGAGCAAATATAATGTCCATATTCAGATAAAATATTTAAATAGGAGTGGTAGAATTGGTATGGGAACTTTTCTTCCAGTGATACATTTCTGTTCTTCCAAAAAATGTGTTTTTAGTGAATCATTTTAACATATATTGAATGGAGAGAAGATCATTTGCATTCTGTGTGGTTAATTCCAAGCCCCGAGGAAGTAATTGAAGTAGCGCGTGTCTCCAAAGCAGTGTGGAATTCACATTTGATTCCTAACTGGATTTCTCTTATGACTTACTATTACTAGAAGAAGAGCACTAGTTGCTATCAGATATTGGAGTTCTTTGCTAACTTTTCAGTGTGTAAATATTTTATAATTGATTTCAGCCATCTCTAATGAGGTATTGTAGAGAGCCTACTTGATCCTGTATTCCTGTTGCGAGCAACTCTCCCATTGACGTCAGTGGGATCTTGGCCTGAATTAAGCGTGAAGCGTGCAATCAGACTTATTAAAATACGAGGTCAGAGTACTCTCGCTTATTCCTACAGTTTATCTCTGTGCTAGTGGAGGTAGAGTTGGAGAGTGAGCTCTGGCAGCTGAAGGAAAACATTGATGAAGGAAAACAGCTACTCTAAATCAGTGTTCAGGGCAGCTTTGCGTGAAGAAGACTTCTCCCAAAGAGGAGAAGGCTGATAGCTGTCTCTTTTCTTAAGTGTAACCACGCAGTGGTCAGCCTGTGGCCTGTTTTGGAGGTACCTGTTTTCATTTACTCTCCCAGAACAAAATAGATGTTTAGTGTTTCTGTTCTCCCTGCTTAGAGTTCAGCCTGCCCACCAGAAGGCAGAAGTTTTCGTAAGTTCTTGGTGTCAATACCCAACCTAGAGAACCATGTTCAAGCTGTACCACTTCCCATAAAGTCATGAGGCTGCAGATCTTTAAGTCTTTGCTTGGGCTGTTGGCATCCTTAGCAAGTATTCCATGAAGTTTTCCACAAGCTCCTGTGCATCCCAGTAGCACAAAGTAGCACATTCCTGTTATGCTGGTCACTTGGTTGCAAACACAGCCCTAAATACCCCAGACTGGATGGTCTTCCATGTATACTTTAAGTACTAAGGAGAATAATGGAACTTGTTTTCACGTCCACTGACAAAATTACTAGTTTGCTGAAATAATAAAGCCTACTCCCTTTCTACAAAATTTTCACAGTATGCACCAATGCTGTTTTTTTGATCCCTGTTTTAATAACCCTTATTATCCTACACTGTTGTCTACCTGCAGAGGCAAGGCTTCCACTGAAGTTTTACAGTGTCATGGTTTGTCAGGATTTCTTTATTGTATAAAAGTAGTTGCTCTGTTTGCTTGCTTCTCTATATAACTAATCAAAACTCAAAATTTGTAATTTGCCATATTAAATCTATTGCCTGAAAAGTAATTGTTTCTTTTACTGCTTATATCACACAACTCTGGATAACAGGACAAAGCTTGAGAAAGTAAACATGATCGAATAATTTGGAAACAAGTGTCTTCATGATGATATTATTTCAACCGTCTGACTCTTGTACCGTCTTACTGAGGAAGGACCAGTTATTCAGTGTAAAACTTAGGATTTCTGGCTGTAAGGTAAGGAGCAGATTGACCTAACACACGCTATTCTTATCAGTAACTGCAGTTCTCCTCTGGCAAAGATTTGTTTTAAAAAATGACTAGTGGCTATCTTCCAGGAAGATCTGGGTGTAATTTCTACACGAACACTTAGGTGAAGTTCAGCAGTAGTTGAAGCAGTAGTGCAAGATGTTGTAAGGACATCCAGTAGTCATAAAGGAATCCCAAGAAAGACTAATATAACTGAACTATCAGCGTTCAAACTTTCCTTTAAGAAGTTTTCGGAGAAAATAGTAATCAGTAACAATATACTGCAACCAAAAATGATGGATCATTTTGCAAACCCACTACTGATGCAAATTTAACATTACATCATCAGTCCTATTTCCTGACCCTGTTGCACACAGTATGAAACTTCACAATTGGGAGATTCAGCTCTCCCTGTTATGAAAAGATCGTGGGACTGAGTTAGGTTATTTGTTGTTATAAGCAAGAGAAGAAATACTATTTTCTGAATTGGGTTCTGTTTATTTATTAGGTTGGATCTGAAAACACAAACTTTGCATAAATTTGTGTCCACACCTGAGCTTTGCAGCTGGACTTGGTGAGCTAATCCAAATACTGGATGAGTGAACAGACTGGCCCTTGAGATTCCCTGTTTTTGCAGCTGGGGAAGGGGATCTCATAGACTGCATTGAGTGATTATTCTTCGCCTTTTTGCAATATAATCTAGTTGCTAATAACTACAGGGTCTAAGGATTTCAGTACTGCCCCAAAATTCAGGGACCAAATCAGAACAAAAGTCGAAGTCCCCTTTTTTTCTTGGTTGACTGAGGTACCTTTTCAAAACTGCACCTTGAATATATTTCATGGTAAGGAAAGAACCCTAGTGCTTCAAGTTTCAGCGTATGGGCAGAATCACAAGTTGAGCTGTGCCCCACAGATCAGTGGAACTTAACTCAGATTAAAATATGATGAATAGATTGATGAATGCTTACTTCACCCACTACAAATGCAAAATCGTACCCCAAGCATGAAATAATGGGCATATGGATAGAATCACTTTAAATCATTAAGAAGCAAAGCAAGAATATGGGGATTTCATTTTGTTTTAAAAAGGCTTGAACACAAGCAAATTATAACTTTTTCTTTTTTAAATGCTGTTCGTATGGAAGCTGCGTAGCACTGCAGTTCCTCATTTGAGGCTGTTGATCATATAACTTCTCATAGTTCACTCCAAAGTCCTGTTCTTTAGCTGACTATGTACAGTATCCTTCTGCTATAAATAATCTTCCTTTCCTTTCAAGTTATCACCACATCATATAGTTTCTTTGTAAGGGCAGTAGATTTTCTATCTGGCATTGTAGTGAGTTCCTTTGAATTCAACCCCCTTATTAGTTGTTTTCAGAGCACTATTTACCCACATCCCTACTGACAGGTTGCAATCTCACTACTGATCTTTGTGTGCCATCTTTGGAGGAAAAAAAAGCAGGCACAGATGTTTCAGAGTTACACATACAGACCCCAAGCTCCCTGCCATACTTGAGCCAGGCATGGTGTAACACACACTAGGTTCTTTAGGGTAGCGCTGGTGTCCCTTTGTTACTGCAGCATAGGACTCACAGCTCAGCAGATATATGCCCTGATATCCTTGCGTTCCCAATACAAAAATATTTATTGGTCATTGAGATTAATTCAACAGCTGATTCAATTAGCCTGATGCCCACCTTCTTTTTGACCCTAATCGAACCCCATTTTCCCCTGGGGACCCAGGATGCGAATACATTCACAGGTTTCTATCCTTGTTTTGTATTTCATTTGTTCATTTGCATACCTCTTTGCTTTTGACATCAGTTGTTTGATTTGAGTATGCCTCTGCCTGTCTTAGCCCGTATTGCAGAATGCTCTTTCACTCAGGAATTAGAAAAGGCATAGCTTTTTACAACTGTGGCTTTCTCCTCCTTACTCACTGCTTCATCTCACTTCATTGAACTACTGGAGCAGCTGAGCAAACAGAAGTCTGCTCTGAGATATTTTAGAGGCAGAAACAGGCTAAATCTGTTGAAGAAATGATTATTTTCAAACCTTAGTCAGCTCAGTTAGGCATGCAATGGTCTTTTTCATAATATTGCTATGTATCCTTGTTCTGGCAAAGCTGGCGCAAGCAAAAGCAGAACGTGAGGGAAGATTTATGTCTTTTGTGTCCAAGTCCATATGGTTCAGTGGCAAATACTGTATATTTACTGGAGAAACTGAAGCTCGCAGAGGCAAGAGTCTTAGTCACAAACAGACAAAGATTGACAGTACAACTGCATTTTAATCTTAGTGTTCTGATGCTTATTTTAGAAGCTGGATGCTAAGCAATTTTACCTTGCAGAGGAAACACTCTTAGACACAGAAATTGGAAGGAATAGCAAAGTCAAGTCAACACTTACTCATAAAATTCAGCAGCTGGAGTGAGCTTGTACTTGGAGTACTTGGTGCCATTGCCAAGCACTGATGCATTGAGGAGTTTGGGATCTGTACAGTTTGGGCTATTCCAACTGTTGCCGCAGTTCGTCCAGGGGAGCTCAAATGTGAATGATGAAAACAGATAATACAGAGACCAAGCTATGATAACGTTGTAGTAGAAACCCACGTAAAGAGCTATGAGTATCACCGCATAGCCTACACCTAAAGACAAAGGAAAACTAGATTATACATTGTATTTTACATGCAATAGTATATGCAAACACTGTAGTTTAGAAAAATTAAGCCATATATTAGTTGCAAACTCATTTTAGATCTTCACACTAAAAAGAACTCGTGATGTATACGTACACATGTGCACACACAGTGTCTTTGACCTTAAAACACGTAATTACATTAATGATTTTGAGAGAAGACTGGCTTTTTAGCAAATCCAGTTGTGTTTGCAAGAAAATGGAAATTAAGCAGTTCAGTGACAAAATTCTGCACTTGTCCAACTCTACTGCAATCCTCTGCACTGGAAGAAAATCAGCAAGCCCATGTTAGGAGTGAAACTCAGTTCATAATGCCAGAGACCTTGGCAACTTTGCATGGAAAAGTAAAGCTCAAGGATTGGGAAGGCTTCCCTGTGTCTCATGCTCCCCGCAGAGCTGGTCTGCAACAGACCACAATCCCTCTCGTGTTTCATTCTCAGAGTTACTCTCCACATTGGCTTCCGCCACTTTGTAACCACGTCCCAAACGTGCACAAGACATGAAGCCTGTGCTGCTCCACTCCAGGACTCTGTGGTACTCGGGCATGCCAGTAAACCTGGAGGAATATCAGGCTTGGGGACAAACTGTCCTCGGACCTTCAAACCATTACATTATTCCCTCAGGATTACGGAATAGAAATCATGGAAAAATTTTACTCTAGATCTTAATTGTTGGGCATGTTATTTGGTGAATTGTACTGTAAGACCCACTCTGTTGGCCTTGAACATGTATTTTGTGTTTTTGCGTGGTGAGGCGTGCTTGGAGCGTCTGTCTAGCGAGAGCGCCGGAGAGTGTTCTCCTTGTGAAAAGGGACATTTCCACTAATTAGAGAGGAAGATTTGGTACTAATACCACAGCAGAACAAAGGTTTGTCGTCAGAATTGTTCAGGAAGCTTATTTTACCTTAGCTGGTGTGATTCTCCCTTTAATCTGTGGGCAGCTTTGTTCTCTGAATCCAACCCCAGAGGCACCTATATTTTGTTTAACAGGTAGTGACTATAGAGCTCTTTCATGGCTGTCATCAGTGCAGTATCACAAACACTTAGGGGGAAACCTTTATTCTAATTTTCTTCAGTTTAGATGTAGATACTGTATCGGAGGCCTAACAATCGCTTGATAAAGCAGGGAAGAGCATACACTTTGCATATTCCTCTTTGCTTGAAATGAACAGAAGGAGCAGGTGCAGACTCAGAAGGAGCCGGCAGTTCACACACTGCTGCCTCTACCAGAGTTGCTCTTTGCTCTTCAGGAGGTTTTTAATACAGAAGCCAGTTTGCTTATCTCTAACATGAAAAGAAAGATGGATCTGTATCTTCAAATCCTTGTTGCTCAAATGAATCCGATACATTAGCATACAAACTCTAGTGATACATTACAATAAATAGAATAGGAAAAAAAAATCATCCAAGAGGATGAATATTAAAACATTCAGTACAAATAATATGCACTGCACTGAAACTGGATTTTTTTTTGTTTGTTTAAAAGAAGTGTTTCTGAAGCTCCTCCAGTTCAGGAGGACAATGACATTTAATATCAAAGGTTCAAAAATACTGGACCAAATGCATCTTAAATGTCACTCCTCTGAGATCATAAGAATGTTCAGAAATGAATTTGCTCTCTTGTTTCTAGATCTAACATTTTGTTAATGTAATGCTGTACCACCCACACTCTAAAATAAACCCTGGAAAATGCACTGATGAAAACAGACTGTGTTGCAAAGGTTACAGGATATATTTTTAATCACATGCAGCATGAGAGCATCTCATTAGAAGTAGAGTTCTTAGAGTTCATAGCAATAATATTCATAGCTAAAATTAGTACTATAGTGCTGTTCATTTAGAGAAGCTGTTATAAACTTGAGTGTAGATTGTGTACTTTTCATTTGAGTGAGAGATTTGAGTTAACCCAGAAACATGTCAAAAGCATTACAAGGCTTTAGCGGTAAAACGTAATTATGTTTTATCAGAAGATTTGATCAAAACCTTAACGGTGCTGCTGAGTTTATACTACTGCTGAGATGCAAATAACACTCAATGTTTCATACTTTTTTAGAATCAAATAACTTATGCTACAGATATTGTATATCACAGTAATAAGAACATTTCAAAATTAACATTAATGAATGTTTAGTCCACCCTGAAAATGTCAACTTAAAACACAGCCGGAATGTCAACAAGGCTATACATGAAATAAGCTCTGTTTTCCTTTTTCATCTTCTTTTCAATCCTGAAGTCAACAGATAGACTACCTCTGAGTTGAGTGGTATTTGGCTCAAACACTTTGTGAGATCCTTACAGTCTAATTTTGCAGTTAGGATTTCAAAATCCTCCTTGCCATCCAAAAGTATTAACTGATACTGGCAGGAATTTTGATTGAGCAAGGGCCTGCAGGTTCCCGGGCACTGGGGATGGATTTAGGCTCCCATGAGGGGATTATAGCAGGGTTAGGTAAATCTATGTGAATTCATTTTCAAATTTTTAGGCACATATGTTTTTTAGCTTGTTTACTTATCTTTTTTATATGTCTAATTCTCCTGTGAGTTTTGGGTTTGAATGATGAGAAAAAAATCTGTAGTTCTCCTATTCTGCAATGCTAGTCTCCTTAAAGAAGAAAGCTGTACTTTGAGAAAGAAGTCTAACATTTACTCAGTGTAACCTATATCTAAGTACCGGATCTGCCAAGTTTGGATTGCTATTGTTAAGCTCTTCAGCTTTTGTCAGTCATGGGATGAACGTGACCTGAATTTTAAGCTTCTGAGAAAATCAGTAAATCAGCTGAGCTTAGGTGGTTTCATTTCAGTCACTTCAGATAGCTCTGGGTTGAAAAGGCTTTCACTTAAGGTTTTAGATAGAATCTGTTATAAACGTAGAGTGGCTCACAATATGTGCTGGTGAACAGTTCTTAAAAAACAATTCTTGGAAGTTCCTTAACACATACTTGTTTCATGTTCAGAAAGTACAGTTTCTTTTACCCAGGGGGATCCCTTTAGCTCTGGTCAATGCTCCCAGACACCTGATCCCAGCTATCTTTGGGTTGCAGAACTGTCGCAACTCAGTGCATGGGACAACACTGCACAGCCTTTTATTCGGTGATGCTGGAGAGTTAATCATAGCAGAAAATACTCAATGGTAATAATAATGTGAAGTTTTAATAAACACTTTTCATTGCTAGGTTTGAAAAGCACTTTACAAAGTCTGTCAGAATCATTACTCCCGTTTCATAGGCAGGAAAACCGAGGTACCAAGGCACAGATAATTTATTTGATGTTACCGGTCTTGGGGCCAAATTAAAGTCTTCCATTTTAGTGGTTTACCACTGTCGTGCATTAGCTTTTGCAACGAAAGCTCCACGGAATGAATTGAATGGAGTCACTGGATACGTTAGTCACTGGGCGGGGAGAGGACTGAAATGACCCGCGTGGGGTGTTTTTGCGTGTTTGCATTGGCAACCCCTCCTTCCACCCAGAGAAAGCCAATTCCTCTCATTCCCCAGCATGGGGCAAAAGGGAGGGCAGGGCTGAACTGCTCCTTCTGTTGATTGCTTGCCACTGCACTCTTCAGGGATAACCCTGAAGATGATTCCTGTGCCTTCTCCCATTTTCTGTTCCACTTGTGATAACAAAAAGGCTACTGACTCTAAGGGTTGCGGAAAAGGTCAGCAAATATCATGCTGTGTGCGGAGAGAGGCGGGAGACCTTTGCTGCGTTTGTGGTCCCGAGCGTGTGGCACCCTCCCAGCTCTGTTTGCTGCGCGGATGGGCACTTACCTTTGAAAACCGGGCAGATTTTCCACACTGTGGCTGCCCCTTCTCGGTTATACTGTCCCAGCGCTAACTCCATATAGAACAGGGGCATTCCAGCAATGATTAGGAAGAGGATATAAGGAATAAGAAAAGCACCTGGAAATAGAATAATTAGACACAGCAAAATCCCTACTGTTCCACTTTTAACTGACTAGAGACAAAGCCACTGCCTTTGGGAACTAGAAAAGAAATTTTCAGGAAAGAAGAACCCATGTTTTCTTGTCCCTTTCTGGTATTTTTTTTTAAGGTCTCAAAAACTGAATCCCTGAGCAAAGGTATAGAGCATGGCTCCTGTTTCCCCCTGATGTCCCCCCTCTGCTTTTTGTTTTCAAAGGGGAAAACTGTCCCTGGAAATTAATCCTTAACTGCAGAAAAAAGCAATGCAAAACATACTTGCAGAACTAAAAGGGAAAAGGATAATGAAAAATTCTCTCAGGCTTCTTTTGGCATAGTGTCTTGAGAAGGGGTGGAGTATGGGTCCTTTTTCATGAGGATTATTTAACCATTTGAGGCCAGCAATGGAAAGAAAAATGGCTGTGTAAGCTCCTGTAAGTGCAGTTTAAATCACACTGTAAGGTGCCTGCAGGAATCCTCTGGCTTGCAAATGGAACGACTTCTGTTCAGTCATTTGGGAACTGGACTTCTATATTTTGATTGTTGCTACAATAATTGCCCTTATTTTTATGAAATGTGTTAGACAAAACCTGTTCTCTGACGTGATCCTGATCACTGTTGTTGTGGAGCGTGTATGATGCTTGATCTGGCTTCCCTGCTAGGCAAAAACACAGTTATCTCAATGTTGCAGCAGGACAGCCCAAGGCCAGCTTGCAACTTCCTGAAATACCTAATTCTACTTATTTAAGGATTCTCATCCCATGAATTCTTACCACACAGACTGTCAACTGTGGAAAAATCCTGCTGTCAGTGCTACTATCATGAAAAGTGAAAGGCTAATTTAATGTAGAGCCTACCTGAAAATTTTTTAGCTGTATTATATGGCCTGAGCCACAGACACAAGACTTCCCCAAAATGCATGGCTATATATGATACCATAAAACAATTGTAGCTGGTATGATGTTCAACAAATGGATACTCTGTCATTCATCTGGTTTGTGGTACCTTTTAAGTGTAGTTCTTATTTTATTGCATAGCTTACTTGGTCTAGAAAAGTTTGATTCTTTTAAAAGGTGTGTGTGTAAAAAACAAGCAGATTGTCATGATAATTGAGAAATTGATAGCATAACGACATATCTGGGATGTCTGACTGGTCTCCTTGGGAGTCACCTATCAGAATGAAAATAAGTTGTGAATGTTATGGTTAAACTGTTCAGCAAAAGAAAGAAGAAATAAACAGGAACAACTGTCTTTCCCTTCCTCCCAACAGCAAGTAGTAGGAAGCTATACAAAGCCTTAAAATCTGCTGTACTGGTTTATGAATTTGAAAACTTCCTTTGCAAAAGGAAACGTTAAGTTTGCACAGTTTCTAAACTTAACAGAAGGTGCATTGAGCCGATAAAAATATAAAAGCTAAAAGTATGACTGTAGCCATCTAAAACATGCCAATAAGCAGGATTAATTGAATATGTTAAAAATACTTCTGAAAGTACTGTCACGTTTCTAAGACTGAAGAGTTGTTACTCCTTTACCTTTCATGTTTGCTTTTCACAGATATTAGTATTGTGAGCTGTCGAACATGACTATCGAGAGAGGGAATTTTGTGTACGCACTGGAGAATCCGTTTTCTTAGTCATACCCCAAATCTAGTTCTGAGGGTAGCGTTATGTAACTATGACAAGGACCAGGTATTCTGCATTCAGTCAGAAGTTTAGACATTTGAAAATTTAAGTCTTGCAATGAATCAGAGAGAGACAAGGTATATTAACAGAAACAAAGAATTGCTTAGAGGTTTGAAAATGTATCATAAGAGCTGAATTATATTGGCTATATCATTTTGGGGGGAAGAATCTTTTTTGAGTTATTCATATGAAGCGTAGTGTGAATGCAACCTGCGTTCACAGGAACTACTACAGTGAAAATGATACATATTTTAATAATACCTCAGTCTAATTCACAAGCCCTCTTCTGTGAGCGTACTACTTGAACTGTCCTGTGTTTGAGTATTGTACATGGAAAAAAAATTTGTATTTCAAAAAATACTCGATATCCAGTATTTCTGAATTGTGTTCAGTGCTGAAACACACTCAGCTAATTCAAGCTGGAAGGGTACATATTGTTTCTACTATATCCAGTATCTAAAAATAGCATTTCAGGTGGGTTTACTTTCATAGACCTTGTACACGACAGCCTTTCAATTGCTGTACTTGTCTCGCTTGGGTAGTATTACAGTGTGTGGAGCTGACTCACAAACCTAGTGTGGTGTATTTGGGAGCTAGTTGTTGGATATTGCACAGAGTGCTATTTGATTAACTTCAATGTCAAGAGACCATGATGCCACAAATTAAATAGGGAAATCTATATTTGTGAAAGTTAATCCTGGAGATGTGTAGTGGACATAAATTTGAAGTTGTAGTTTAAAGTATGTGTTTTCTAAGTGTGACTAATACCTTGATGAACTGTGAAGGGTACTGTACTTAAATGATGCTTAAGCAAGCATGCGTATTTGGCTGCAGGCTTTCAGGCTTTAGTTGCAGGAATTTTTTCCCCTCTTTTTTCCCCCCACGAGAGATTAATAAGGTGTGTTGTAATTTTCAGCAAAGAGTAGTTACACAATATGGCAGAGTTTCATAGCTGGGGTTTCCTTTCTGGTAACTATAAGATGGTGAGTGAGGTATTTTAATGTCCAGATGAATATCAGAGTAAAGGTGCTTATTCCCAGTAAGTTGTCTCAAAAATGTTTTGGAAACTTCTGGCAATTTCTTGTTCACCAGCTTCTGGTTAGATTCAAAAGTAATAAAAAGATGTTTTGTTAATATTTTGATATTTTCGCTTCTCTTCCTAGCCGATATCCAGAATCAAACAGAAATAAAAAGAGGAATGTGTTAAACCTAGTCTGAGACTTGCAGAGAAGGTTTAGTATGTTTTTCCTGATCTATACCAACACAGCTACTTCATGGTGTTCCCTGAACCCTTTCTGAGATCACAGGCACTTCAGAGGAAAATATGGTGATGGTCAAAGTATCATCCAAATTACTGCAAACTAAAATGGGTGCAAATGCTTATAAACAACATGTGTGTGACATATGATCAGCCTCACTCTGTGATTGCACAGAGGCTCCATCACAGGGCTTCTCTGTGTGCAGTGTCTTGTGGACTAGAGGTGTTGTTTGGAAAGGAGACCTGATACTGTCCTCCGTGTGTGTGCGCGTGTGTGTGTGTGTATGTTTCGTAATGACCTATGGTCAAGGGAGAAGACTGATTGGCATCCTCATAGGCCTCTTGCTAGATGTCCATTGGTGTTAATTTAAGCATCATTAGGTATTTCCATGAAAGGGTAACCTTGCTGTTAATACCTACCTGGTCTTGGTCTACAGAGTCAAAACATGATGCCAAGTATGTCACTCCCTTTAGGGCCATTAGCTCCAGAAGCTGCTGTGCTTTAATTGCATGAAGCCAAAGGGCCAGTCAGATTTGTACAGCCCAAGCCAGCTGGACTCTTACGGGGCATGTGGTCTGGCTAGCACTTCAAACCAGCTGTGAAGCTTGCCAAGATCTCCCTAACTTTGAACAAATATTGCGGTATATTTTCAGATAGGAATGTTTCCAGTATTTGTGCTGGAAATTAATCTAAAAACAATGATCTTCCAATTGGCAAATTGAAATACAAGCTAATCTCCATATCTGATCAACATTACTTGTTTCTTTCAAACTGTGAATGAATAGTACTTGAAACAATATCAGCAAACAGTTGACAGAATACAGTATGTTTGCTTGGACAATGAGGAAGATGTGTGGAATCTGTAATCTGTGCAGACTCCTACGAATAAAAAAGGAAGTCCCTTCTGCAGAGATCTTGAAATCTCGGTTATGCAAGATCATCAGTGATAGGGCAGCACAGAGAGGTGGCCGCTGACTCCTGCGAACAAGGGGTCGCAGTGTAGACCTCTAAGTCTTTACTGACTGTAGGGTAAAACGAATAAGGGTTTGCATGGTGCAGCAAAAGAGAAGTCAGAGTTGCAAAAGGAACAGGATGTAGCTGCAGCGTCAAAGCCAAGAAGATGACTTTAGCAGCACCTGTATGCTGATGTTGAGCTCGGCCAGCAGTAGATTTTAGTAGTCAAAAATAACATTTTTCTGCAAAATGGATCACACAACATACTATAAAAACTTCAGCAGCTCTTTGCACGTATTAATTCTCCCAAGTATGCAATACAATCTGCTAAGTATGCAACCTTTTTTATGGAAAATATTTCTGAACCATAAAACCACTGGGGCTGTACCATCATGAGTGACGTATTCTTGAGGCCCTTATGTTTAGCTACTCCTTCTAACAACCTGTTGCTAGACTTGAACCTATTTGTTTCTACTCTCAGTTTAGACTCAGAGCCTTCAGTTTTTCCAAGATTCCAGGATTTTTTTCACAGAATTCCTTTCACTCAGGAAGAAAGTGAAAACAAATAGTTTCCAGAAATGGTTCAATGCTGTTCATGGGCTGATGTCAACTCAAGCTTGTATTTTTTGTCTTGAGTTGTTAACCTGCTGCTGCCTTGACATCACTTGAAGTGCTTTGAAGCGCAGTCCATTTATAAACTGGTCACTGGGTTGTAACAGAAGGAATTACCTGACCTCTTCCAGTAAACCCCATCATCTCTTTTGCTTTTTGTTACAAGAGTAATGAGTTAAAGAAACCCGTTAGTCGCTATTTTGAACAAATTAGAGTTAAATAGACCCAGCTACTCAGAGCAGCATGATTCATTCACAAATAGCACCCAAGTCATTGGCTAAGGTCCTATTTGCACAAAGTAATGAGAAGATCACACTTTACAACGGTGCATAGTTTGAAGATAATCACAGGAACAGACATCCACAAGAACTGAACCTAGGCCCATGTCGCCTGATGGGAAATTGAAGACTAAATAAAGCGAAAACATGATGGGTTTGAGAGACTGTAAGTCAGGTTGATCTGAGATGGCCAGTGTGGCAATGGTAGCACAGGAACAAGCTGAGGCTTTGGGCCTCCGAACCTGTTTGTTCATTTTTGTTTGTTTTGTCTCACTCAGCTGTAAACTAAAATGAATGGTTTCACCATTCATGGATCTGTCCGATTTTGATGGCAGAAGGGACTGTTTGATGCTCTGATCTGACCTCCTGCATAATGTAGACCACAGATTCATGCTGCCCACCTTCACAGAACGCTCACTGCTGCTTGCTTAGGAAATGAATTAAGCCAACCCCATCTTCTGCTGGGAGTGTGAGTGAAGAAAGTCCACTCTGTCTCCTGCTTTGCAAGGCTGCAGTGATAGCATTTGTTTTTACATTATACCTCCTTCTGGCTGAGTTGTTAAAGTAGTTGGCCCCTTTGCTTCTAAATAAATGAATTGGGATGGAGGTGAGTTTTGACAGTTGTTTGATAAGTAAATAGCCTACAGTTTGTAACAATGTGAAGGTCTAGCTGCTAACATTCCTGCCCAAATCCATCTTGTTGATTTTGCACCTTTTTCTTTTTTAACAACATGACCAGTTTAAACAAGAAGTAAGAGAGAGGCAGCAAGTGAACAGGAGTGTGGAGCCAGCCTGTAGACTGTTTTGTTATGTGATTTATGAAATTCCTATTGCTAATGTTCAATAGGGCAGGGTTTGAGAGGAGAGGTAGTACCCTCCCCTAGAGAAGCTGACACAGTTGGGGGAAAAAAAAATAGCAAGCTTTCTCGTTCCCAAGCTTTTCAGAAGGGAAGTGCGCGGTCCTGAACTGCAGGGTCACAGAGCAGATGTTCAGATAGAGGAGGCTGCTGCTTCACAACAGATAGGGCTGGGAGCTGAAGAGATGTTAAATTAAGAGGAAAAATATCCTCGTATCATTTTATTAGTAAGACTGTGCCATTGTTGGTAGCCTTATCCCAACCTTGCAATCACTAGGGGTGACAGAAGTATATATTCACCTGCAAATGAGTCAAATGAACAAAAGCACCCATGAAGTCTGTAGGCTGTACTTAAGATGTATAAAATCAAAGTGTTTATCAAAGCGTGCCTTGATTTTTCAGAGGCAGAACATCCTTGGCTAAAAAATACTTTTTAGTGAAAACATCAGAACCCACTTGGTATGAGCTTTTAGATCAGGATAAGCAGGTTTTGCTGGATTCCGGCACTGGAAAATCCCTAATAACATAACCTGATAGGTTAGGTTATCACCTATCCTATCACCTAACCTATCACCTGATGTGATAGGTTTTCCTTGAAATGTGATGTGCTGAAAAATTATTTTCTGATGTACGCAGCTTTAGCTGTCTCTCTTAATATAGAGAGGTCCCTGCTTGGTGCCAGGGAGATGCTGGCAACTGCAGCCTTTACTTTGGTTCAGTTACA